CATTTACACAGTATACCTAAAACTAATATACTAAAATATAATAATAATAATAATAATAATATAGTATAATAGAATATATTTTTTTACTTTTTAGCTGTTTCTTTGGAGCAGGATTATACATAGGACACTCCAAGCAGCTTCTATTGCCTTGAATAGATGTGTGTGTGTGATGGTTTGTTTTAGTGTGTTAGCATACAATGTAAAACCCATTCCCTGAGATTCTTAACCCCTTCTTAGGACACACAGAGGGGAATATATAAAAACTGGAGCAGACAAAATGTTGAGCAGCTGTGCATGGCAACCAATCAGCTTCTCTCTTTCATTTTCAAATCTTAACTGAACAAACTGCAGAGAGAAGCTGATTGCTTGCCATGCACAGCTGCTCCAGATTTTGTCTGCTCCAGTTTAGATAATTCCCCTCACAATATTCAAATTTAGTTTACATTTGATAATTACATCTGCCAGCACAGTACAGACAGGGTTAATTATGGTAAACATAACTTCCTACTTAGCATTACATAGACTAGAAAGCTAACTAAGATCTTTCAACAAGGAAAAAGCAATTAAAAAGGTAAGCAATTTTTTTTGAAAGGGTGAATGACATTCACAAATATAAAGTAGGTGTTATCCCAATTTGGCTGCAAAAGTGGAAATGCACTTTGTTTAAAAGAGGTAACAATATTTATCCTGGCAATGCCATCATCTTCCATTCTTCCCAGAAGGCTGATGCCATCTTTGTTCAGGAATCATCCAGGGTCACTACTTCCTGGACCCAAACGGCAGTAGCTTATAATAAAAGTGACGCAGATTGAAGATAAATAACTGATACTGTTTATTTAATTAACTTGCGGCTCTATATTTTAACATGTCAAGAATGTATTCATGCAGACTTGCAAAGTAACTTGTGGCTCCTCTCTAAATGCTGACAATTATCTGTTTATTTTCTAGCATACGACAGTGCTGCCTTTCATATTAATTGAGATGAGAACAGCTCATCACCAGTATCCGAGCAGAAGTTGTGGCCTTGCAACAGTCAGCTTCTTCTCTATTTGCTATATTTTATGGTAAGAGTTACATTTAATAAGTGCATAACATAATAACCAGTAATATTACTTTTCACAAATGTCACATTCAGTCCTACATTCGCTGTGTTGGATAAAAATTGCCCCAACTAGCAGGGCCTGTTCATATAGTGAGTGTTCCCAAAGATTTTGCAGATTTTTCCTACTAGAAAATAGAATCTTGGGGGTTTACAACTTTCTTTCCTACTTTATTGCAGCTTTTACATACAAAGAATAAAAAAAATGAGGCAAACGACCATTTCACGTGTATAACACACGCTTTCTTGAGATCTTTGGCAGGATTTTTAACAAGGCTACACAAAAGGGTGAAGAGTTTGGAGAAGGCAGGAGAAGTTAACAATCTAGGACAACACAGCTGAACTGAAAAGTAAGCTGAATTGGAGAATTTTTCCAGTTCAACTATGTTATCCTAGATTGTTCACTTCTCCTGCCTTCTCCAAATTCTTCACCCTTTTGTGAATAGCCCTGTTAGTGTTTGTATGTAAAAGCTATTATGAAGAAAGAAAAAACACTGTATGTGCCCTGGATTGTATGTCCTTATGCATTGAACTGTGGTTATCATTAGGGATGAGCGAACCAGGTAAAGATCAGTTCGCAAGAAGTTTGGCGAACCCAGCAGCAGGATCATAGAACTCTACTGAAATCTATGGGAGTCGAATCTTCAACCTGTTTGTTTACATACATGAGCCAAATGGGAATCTGTCTTTCTCCGGTGGGAGTGTAATAGGATGGCATCATGTTGGCGGGTCAACATCTTCGTGAAGCGGGCCGTTGTGGTGGTGGGTCATCGTGATTGAGAAGGATCCATATTACTGGACAATGGGATAGGCTTTGAATTTTTAGTTTGGCACATTGTTTACATTTAAAAAAATAATTAATGACTGTCACATTGTGTGTATGTTTTTTATTTACGTTTAACTATTTGTGGGAATGAGCGAGAGGAAGTAGAACCCCTGTACTCATTCCCCTGTGGCATGCAGTGGATATCTAGAGACCCCTAAAGGGGACTTCCAGATTCCTAAAACTCCCCCCACATTCTTTTGGGGAATGGATGTGGGGAAGTGGCCCTTATCCTCTTAATATGCCATACTCCTTGCAAGGTAGCTCGCAATGTTGAAGGCATGAGACCTGATATGGGTCAGGAACAGGATGCGCACACGCACTGCCCTCCCTTTCCTGGCTACCTAGGCTACATGCCTGGATAAGGAACCTAGTATGACTTTTAAGGAAGGCCCCTAACGCAAGAATGACAGGTCCCTAGGCAGCTGCAATGGGTAAACAAACAGTCCAGGGATCCAGTATTACGCAATTGGCCAAATGTGGTCTTGAACATATATAGTCAATGATGTCACCCAGGATTCATGGCTGATGTTTGTTTACATGGTGGATACACTGGTCAAATATGGCCAGTTTGTTTGGCCATTTGCCAAACTGCTTAAAGGCTGGGTTCAGGTCCACCCTGTGGTCATCCCGAATCTGAACTTCATCCCTAGTTATCATAACAAGTGGAGCACTGACACCTGTCAGCAGGAGGTTGCATATGAATGAATAGTCTATCATGGTGTTTTGTATTTTCAACAGTTTTGGACCCCCGTGACTTTATGTTACGATACTTTGCTGATTTTTATTGGGGGGGCTATTTGAAATTCTCCTAAATGCAGACATATTCCTGTCATTTTCAGCTTCCGTTATAGTCTAAGCAAATGCTCACAAAATGCACATAACATGCTTTTAAACTCTTATTATAAGTGCTTATAAGCATTCTCATTGTCTAGAACATCACAATATGGCTTACTACACTTATATAAAATGATGGAAAAATGCTTTTAAAATGCCTATAAAAAACTCAACAAAACGTTTCTGAAAAGCTGATAAATTCTCAAATCGATTGAAAATGTTTATAAACGCCCATGCACAAATGCGAATACATGCTTGACACCTTCAAGCAATGCTGTTGTGAATAATGCTGGAGCACAGGATATATCTATAGGCAAATGGGAAAGCCTCTTTTAGTTAATTTATACATTTAAACATGTAAAAGATGAGGTTTTTATATTTTTTTAATGGTCGTATCAATATGACACCAATATAAATTGCAGAGAAAAGAAAAATTAAAAATTTATGCTTTTTTTCACTTCCTTTCACTGTTGGGGTCTTTTATGAAACATGCTTTATTCCAAACCTCTGTACAAATAGTCTGCCTGTGCTGAAAAGCATACTCTTAAAATCCATTAGTGAATATCAACATTCCAGTACTGGAAACTTTCAGTGACATGAAAATCCACAACTATGTCTTCATTTAGAAAATATGCTGCCCTCCACTGCTAATGTCATGGTGCCAATTCCCACTATGTGACCATTATATAGAACGTGCCAGAAAGACAAATTAATGCAGAGTTTAAATCAGAATTAAACCACCAGCACAAAAAAAAAAAGTTGAGCCCCCAGGCACATGATAGACTTACCTATCAAAGTGATCCCCTCAAGTGCTGCAATGTCAGAGCTTCTATCTGTCACTGATACTTCCTTCTATTGCTGGGCATCTTCCGGGCTCAAAATCTTTTCCCTATTGATTGCCTGAGCATGGATGACTTAATTGGATGACGGCAGTAACTTTGACACAACACAGAATACCACGTGTACGGAAAAACAGGCTAGCTGAAACAGATATGACTTGCACAGTCTATTCTGTAATATAAAAATACTATCTGTCAGCACTTTAATACTTTTAAAACTTCCACTTTAAAACAGGCATAAGCATAATAGACAAATCATTTTTTAATTTAATCACACCCTTTTCTGCTTTAATATACTATATAAAATCAGTAAACGCTGGCTTACTTATTTTTATACACAATTTATATCACGGAAACAGTTTGGGCAGCACTTTACAAAATATGGGGTGACAGTACAGTTACAATACAATTCCAGACAAGAAGATTAGAAGGGCCCTTGTGCTGGAACAATAGTTGTATCAAATATGACAATTCATAGTCATAGCTGATATTCATACAACTGTGAAATTAGAATTTATACAACAATTTTCCTTAAGCCATATATTGTGAGCAGTATTGTAGCTGATTTATGTGCTGCCATCTAGTGGGCATTTTGTTTATTGCAACATGTTTCTCTTCATGTCCCTCCCCTTGTGTGTAATATACCGCCCTTCTTCTCCAGTAGTCGTTTTAGTGTCATGGCTACTTGTAACAGGACCACATGCACATGCTAGCCTGGAAACATTATCATCCTTGATCTTCACATGCCATCTATTCATTCATTTGCTGTATCCTGTTGCCTGCTCTAACCTGCTGCACGGAATAAACTTTGTAGATGGAAAAGATATTTGGTGAGTTCAGATATCTGATAAGGATTGTCCGCTGTGATTATATCTGCTTATACAGGCCAGGTATAGAGGTCTCAGCAAGGGATACATAGCTAATACAACAATCGGAGTCAGATTAGCCCTACTTGTGAGAGCTTATAATCTGCTAGACATGTAAGCCGGAAGAAAATTAGTTTTGTTTCAGGTTTCGGATCCAAACGCTGTTTCGTTTCGGCATTTGGATTCCAGTTTTGGACAGGGTTTTCTGATTGGCCAGAAAACAGTCACGTGTCCGATTTAGTTTCATTTTGAACAAAATTCGGATGATCTGAACTTTCGTTAAAAGGGCATTTGGTTTGGTTTGCATTTGGCCTCATTGGAATTCGGACATTCAGATGCATCCGAATATCTGAATTCACAAAATATCATCCAAATTTGAATTTGGAATGAAGCTAAATTTTTATGTCTACGATCTATCTATGTAAAGCAGCTGCAGAGGTACAGATATACTAAATACTTGTATGCACGTGTCAGTGCATGCATATGCTACATACTATACATTGTTTAGTATATGTATGTAGTATTTTTGTCTCTAAGAATAGTTTTTATCATGAGACTTTTGTAAGTTAGTAAAATTGGGAAGCATCCTCTAAATTACATACCTTTCTCTAACCTATAACCTTCCCTTAAAACCTAACCTTCCATTAACCTGCACCCTAACACTTAACATAGCTATAAATATGAACCCTTAACACTTCACCCACTTAATCCCTAACCAAAACCTGAAACTTTACATTTAGAATTTAGCCAGATCTTAAGACAATGCTCAACCATACTTGAAGGACCACTAGAATGGATAGAACAAGTATCCGTTTTGGCAGAGTTATTTACCTACCACACTCCAGCAGTGGAGCCTCCTCCATCTCCCACGGCCACAGGCACTTCCCAGTTTTACCCAGAGTGCTGCGGCCATGTTACATGGCATGTCACACGACACTAGTGCAACCTTGGCACCAGTTCAACCTTACTACCTGTGTCCCATGCTACCAGTGCAACTGTGTTACCTGCAAATCTATCTACCAGTACGATCTAGCTACCAGTGCTACCTTTGTTACCAGTGCTACCTGTGTTACCAGTGCTACCTTGCTACCAGTGACAACAGTGCTACCCTTCTACCTCTACTACCCTGCTACCAATGCCAACAGTGATGGCTTCAAGCCCCAGATGAAGTCAATTGTGATGTAACGCATAGGACGGAGTCTCGCAGATGTGGATTGGAGATTGCATGTTCGGCAGCACAACTCCTGTTTAATCTGTCTTTGAACCCAGAGAATATGGCGACATGAAGAAAGAGTTGTCGGGCATACAATTGAAGTTTTATATCAACTTTCCTTATATGAGTAGTTTTTTAAATAAAGGAGTTTTTTTAATTTTACGGTTTTACGCTATGGGCTGTTTTTAAATTTGATGACATGCTGACGTCATTTTCTGTGTAACAATTGTGGAAAGACGGCCTTTGAATAAGATCGATTAGAGATCCTATAAAGCGATTTTAGACTTGCCCAGGTCTACATATAAGGTGAGCAGGCCACTGAGAGGGGGAGAACCTGGGTGATAATTGGAGTTGATGTATGCAGTGGTGTATTTAGGTTTTGTGCTG